ACATAAAATCCGCTTAACGTTTTAAAAGCAAAAATATTAGACGGTATGGAAGCACGCGTCTAATTACGCGTTGTTTTAGTCTACGGATCACTTACAAACACTCACTTAGATCTAAAAGATTTTCTTACCGAAACACTCCGATATTTAACTTTTAGAACATAGATGGATTTCATAAATCGGGATTAGAAGGAATTTTGGTAGGAATCTTAGCACTATAACGGGTGATGTTATCTTGGTACCGTAATGATTTATTGTACACGAAACACTTATGTATGGCACTTGGTGGTTTAATCATACACCACGTGACACACACAATTTAGTGACGTCATACGTAAGACAACAGGCATCACATCGTGGTAATGCTGGGTAGGATTAAAGATAATGCGCATTTAAGTCAAAAGGTCGATATTAAGACTAACGACGGTAAGAAAACCAGGTTTTTGATACCTGATGGAAAGATATATATAGATCGTTTTCATTTCATGTGAGATTGAGGGAAGTTTTCCGTTCAAGTAAATAGTGTTTTAATCTCCCATTAGATAAGAACATGGCCGTGTCTTGTATTACACTGTACATGTAAATATTTGGCAATTTTATGATTCACGTGAATTATTGTGTTTGTTATATCACCTATCATGGCCTAAGAAAACCTACGATATTACTGCGTCACGAAATATGTGACGTCACAATGGCAGTGTCAGGATGCGAAAATGACGACTGGAGGGTGACAGTTTCAACGCTTATATAGCTATATAAAAACGATATATATCAATGTCCTTTATAAAGCCCTGAACGGGTGGTCGGTTGGGGCAGTGGTACAAATAAGGACCCTCGCGCGCTTACTTCCAACAAAATTGTTTAGTTGAAAACAAAATAACTTGTGTCGCAAATGTTGTAAAATAAATTTTAAACGAAATTTTAAATTAAATTGAAAATTTGAGAAGATCTGTACACGAGATGCGTCAATCATTAGCATAAGATAAAGTCATTGTTACAGATCAAAAAAGGACGGCATTGTAGGGAGATCTGATGTGTGTGAACCATCCTCGTTACATGATAACCGAAACTCTGGTGTTCAAATAAAGTTATCGATAACTGGCGTATAACCATTTGAATTAGAACAATCAGACTTTAATGTTTAACTGTGCTAGTATTTCCTGATGTTTTTCCCATTGTTCGTTACAACGTTTAAATCATACATCTATTGAAACATCAAAGGTAAAAAGAACTGTGGTATCCTCTCTGTGTAACCCACGCCGTAAGTATCAACACGCGAACGCTTGCCGTCTAAGTACTTGTCCTGTAGTCCATGGTTCGGGTTTTTGGTAACCCAGGCGGTAGATATCAACACACGAACGCTTGCCGCCTTAGTACATGTCCTGTAGTCTATGATTCGGGGTTTTTTTTCATACAAAAGGCGTTAAATATCCAAACACGAATGCTAGCTGCCTTAGTACACATTCTAATCAATAACCCCCACACACCCAGCCTGGCCATCTTTTACAGGTTATCAAATCACAACTTATATGTGATAATAATTCTTATGTTTTATACACAAAGTTTATTAAATGAAAATAAACATTTCGTAGTGTTTTTTTTTTATTACAGTTATGGTCATAGTAACATCAGACTTGAACATCAAAGACTACTCTGTATGGAAAGTTACTTAATCATGTAGGCGAACGTGTCCGAACCACCTTAATTACACTGACTGCAAGTCCATATCAGTTCTCCTATATTAGATCAGTTTGTTTTTCGTGAACATGTACAATTAAGTGGAAACACACATTACACAGTCAATATGATGTTATGTTTATGTAATTACCTAGGCAATATACTGATATGTGCGTTTTATGTTCAAACTATAATTGACAGAATATACTGATATGATGTACATTTGTGTTTAATGTAGAGACTGGAAATGGAGATATACACTTTAAAGTACAGATTATCATAGGCAGTATATACTGAGTTTTTTGTTTAATGTACAATCTATAATTGGCAGTATATACTGAGTTTTATGTTTATTGTTCAATTTATAATTGGCAGTATATACTGAGTTTTATGTTTATTGTTCAATTTATAATTGGCAGTTTATACTGAGATTTGTGTTTAATGTACAATTTATAATTGGCAGTATATAATGATATGTTGAATGAACATTACATTAGCAATATTCAGCAATATATATAGTGATACGTGGTTTGCCGGAATTCCAATGAAGTTCGGTGAAATGAAATGGTAATACGGGAAGATGCTTAGAACTGATATTAATCTATTTCCCTAAAAATTTTACTCTCGTATTCAATTAGTAGCAGAATATGAATTTACAAAGTGATTATTACATCGACGGTCTGAACAAAGAGAAACTGACAATAAATGTCAACTTTCAACATTGGCGGCACAAAATTTAAATGAATGCTTAAAACTTGATTACAGTATTGTGAGCAAAAATTATACAAAGTGAATGAAGATATATCTTATGCAACATGGATTTATATAAATTTTTATTTCAATATGCAAGATTTTGTTGTAGGCTGCTACAGTTGTTTACAGAACAAATCAGAAATACAGCAATGTTTTATGTACAGTACAAATTCCCATTACCGATATATTTCTGTATATTTCATATATGTAATTATACCTGTAATATATCGTTATGTATGTAGATGTATGATGTAGAAGCCTCGCGTACGTGTAATCGTTTCATTTCAATTGTATGAAAATGACAGTAAACCACAATTTTATTTATACCACGTGACAACATTAAGACAATTTTTTGTACAACGTGCTCACAAGAGTTATGGTACGATATAGGATCTGTGCTTCAATCTGTTCTACTCTTATGGGCAACTTTTTAAGTTTGATAATCAATTTACTTTCGCGCAGTATTTTTGCTTGTTTGACCAATTTTACATCCATGATCAGCATTTTGGGTTATTTGATAAATTTGACTTTCGTGATATGCGTTTTAGGTTTTTTTCTCAGTTTGTTTTTAACGGGCAGCATTTGGGTAGTTTGATGTGAACAGAATTTTGTGCTGTTTCACCAATTTTACTTTCGTGATCAATATTTTTGGTTGTTTCACCAATTTTACTTTCACGATCAATATTTTGGTTGTTTCACCAATTTTACTTTCATGATCAATATTTTAGTTGTTTCACCAATTTTACTTTCACGATCAATATTTTTGGTTGTTTCACCAATTTTACTTTCACGATCAATATTTTTAGTTGTTTCACCAATTTTACTTTCGTGATCAGCATTTTGGTTGTTTCACCAATTTTACTTTCATGATCAATATTTTAGTTGTTTCACCAATTTTACTTTCACGATCAATATTTTTAGTTGTTTCACCAATTTTACTTTCGTGATCAGCATTTTGGTTGTTTCACCAATTTTACTTTCATGATCAATATTTTAGTTGTTTCACCAATTTTACTTTCACGATCAATATTTTTGGTTGTTTCACCAATTTTACTTTCATGATCAATATTTTTGGTTGTTTCACCAATTTTACTTTCGTGATCAATATTTTAGTTGTTTCACCAATTTTTTTCACGGTTGTTTCACCAATTTTACTTTCGTGATCAGCATTTTGGTTGTTTCACCAATTTTACTTTCATGATCAATATTTTTGGTTGTTTCACCAATTTTACTTTCACGATCAATATTTTTAGTTGTTTCACCAATTTTTCTTTCGTAATCAGCATTTTGGTTGTTTCACCAATTTTACTTTCATGATCAATATTTTAGTTGTTTCACCAATATTACTTTCGTGATCAGCATTTTAGTTGTTTCACCAATTTTACTTTCACGATCAATATTTTAGTTGTTTCACCAATTTTACTTTCGTGATCAGCATTTTGGTTGTTTCACCAATTTTACTTTCGTGATCAATATTTTTAGTTGTTTCACCAATTTTACTTTCGTGATCAGCATTTTGGTTGTTTCACTAATTTTACTTTCGTGATCAATATTTTGGTTGTTTCACCAATTTTACTTTCGTGATCAGCATTTTGGTTGTTTCACCAATTTTACTTTCGTGATCAGCATTTTTGGTTGCTTGATCAAGATTACTTTCACGATCAATATTTTGGTTGTTTCACCAATTTTACTTTCGTGATAAGCGCTTTAGCTTTTCTTTATCAGTTTAACTTAAACGGACAGCATTTGGGTGGTTTGATGTGGACAGAATTTTGTGTTGTTTGATCAGTTTTACTTTCGTGATCAGTATTTTTTGTTGTGAGATCAATTCCTCTTTCGAGATCAGCACATTGGGTTTTTAGATCAATATTTCTTCCGTGAGCAGAAGTTTTGGTTGTTAGATCAATTTTGCTTCCGGGAGTTGTATGGTAGTGAGCGTATCATTGTTACAAATACAATTCAAGGATACAGTTCCACACACGAGCCTTAAACCGGTCAGTGAAATATTCAACGGTAATATCTGACACGTGGATTTCTAGAAAACACGGGAGGCAACGTTTACAAGAGCGGGGCAAGGTAAACACATTGTCCCGGTCTAACGCTGCTCCGAAGTGTCATTCTGTGTCCTCCACGGTACCCTCCGCAACAGACACGCTACGTTAGCATAAATCTTTATTTATAAGGCCATAAACGAATGTGCTATTCTTCTCTAAAACATATACAGCCGACCGGGCTGTACAATTTATTGGAATCGAACGAAAGATAAGGCATTGTCTTGTCGTCCGTTCACATCTAGGGAGATATATATTTTACACTGAAATAATGAGCGTCTGAAAGTCAATTCAAAGAATGCTATCACCTACGACAATAACCGCTCCTACTGTGTATACTTGAACCTTGTCATACGAAAGGCTCTGTGTGGCTTTGCATTCGTTAATCTAGAATTTGATATTTGTATTTACATCTAAATAGAAAGTAAAAGTATTGTACCAAATAACATGGTTCAACTGAATCAAATCCTGCAAAAAGGATTTGAGAAATATTATGGAAACATAATCAAAGGTATTACTTACCATAAACCGTAACTCGCCGATAGGAGGTCTGGCGTAGGGAATCCCCAGGTATTTCTCCACCTTTTTCCCATCATATACTGTTTGTGTAAATCCACGCACTCGTCCGTATTTTGTCCTACGAATAGGATTCTGATTACCACATGTGCAAAAACTGAACAAAAATGTGAATGAAACAGGGAAAAAGAGCAAGATATTCATCTTAGTCACATAAATGTTTCATTCTAAACATCTAATGTTTTTCATCTTAATCATTTGAATGTTTTAACTAAGTAGCGATATTTGTAGTAAGAAGTATTCAACATTAACACTGCTGGTAACACCAGCTGATGAGAGTAACGTTCTGTGCCGACACATTGTCCATCTGGGAACCAGCACGAATATTAACGTTCCATATCGTCGCGATTGCTTTCACTTAAGTGTTCCTTCCGATTAAGTTTTAAAGGTAGCATGGCAGCGTACACCTGAGTGTTGTGGCCACTCCTTAACGTGTGCAGGGCGGTCTAAACTGACACCCGCTACAAACCTCTACGGTTACAAATCGCTAGTACGTGTATGTTTCTCAATACATTGTAAAGCATGAATGGTATATAAGGCCTAGCCCGATAAAGTTTACCTAAGGTCTCTTATAGAACTACAGGTAGATTCTACCAGAGCAAGCCGCGTGCTCGCGATACCAACACATGCTAACAGTGGCAGAGGAAACACACCGCAATGCTATCGATGGGGAGATCCATCGGACCAGTCTAATTGATTCCAGTGGTATATAGAAGGCTTTCGTCCGCCGTTCGCATGGAAATATCTTAATTTTCACACTCTGTTATTCCTTTTCGACATGATCTGTCTCTCCGTCTCTGTCTCTAGTATATTTGTATCAATAACGAATTTACAATCATTATGGCAATACATAGCATTATCTCTCTCTATTTTATACTCTTTCATATCGTAATGTGTCTATCGGTGTTGTATATATTACGAATTGCACTTGGCAAAACATACTGACAAATTCCTTTGACATTTTATATGTCAATGAGATACGTTAAAACTAAACTGATGTAAGCTATCAAGTGAAGAGAGGAAGCCACACTGGTCATTCATATTTATTAACGTTATTAGCTGGGGATGCTGATAAAATTCTTCGGCAAAGGGAAGCAATACGCCATGGACAACGATAACACATATAATAAATGTATGCAAAAGTGTACAAGGCGCCCTGGTGAACCTTTCTGACATAAGACTTCAGCAGAGAAAAAGGCGCCTTTGTGGACCTTTCTGACATATGACATCAGCTAAGAACAAGGCGCCCTGGTGATCCCTAATGACATAAGACATCGGCGGAGAACATTAGATATGAGCGGAAGAGAACAAGGCACCCTGTTGGGCCGTACTGATACATGACCAAATGCGCCCTTGAGAGAAATAAGGCTTCGTAAGGGGGCATACTTATCAAAGTTATCGTCGGAGGAGAATAGGGCATCGTGAGGGGCATACTTATCAAAGTTATCATCGGAGGAGAATATGGCATCGTGAGGGGGCATTATTATCAAAGTTATCATCGGAGGAGAATAGGGCATCGTGAGGGGGCATACTTATCAAAGTTATCGTCGGAGGAGAACAGGGCATCGTGAGGGGGCATACTTATCAAAGTTATCATAGGGGGAGAATAGGGCATTGTGAGGGGGCGTACTTATCAAAGTTATCGTCGGAGGAGATTAGGGCATCGTGAGGACACATACTTATCAAAGTTTTGATAGGAGGAGAATAGGGCATCTTGAGGGGGCATACTTATCAAAGTTATCGTCGGAGGAGAATAGGGCATCGTGAGGGGGCATTCTAATCAAAGTTATCGTCGGAGGAGAATACGGCATCGTGAGGGGGCATACTTATCAAAGTTATCATCGCAGGAGAATATGGCATCGTGAGGGGGCATACTTATCAAAGTTGTCGTCGGAGGAGAATAGGGCATTGTGAGGGGGCATACTTATCAAAGTTATCATCGGAGGAGAATAGGGCATCGTGAGGGGGCATACTTATCAAAGTTATCATCGGAGGAGAATAGGGCATCGTGAGGGGGCATACTTATCAAAGTTTTCATCGGAGGAGAATAGGACATCATGAGGGGCATTATTATCAAAGTTATCATAGGGGGAGAATAGGGCATTGTGAGGGGGCGTACTTATCAAAGTTATCGTCGGAGGAGAATAGGGCATCGTGAGGGGGCATTCTAATCAAAGTTATCATCGGAGGAGAATAGGTCATCGTGAGGGGGCATTATTATCAAAGTTATCATAGGGGGAGAATAGGGCATTGTGAGGGGGCGTACTTATCAAAGTTATCGTCGGAGGAGAATAGGGCATCGTGAGGGGGCATACTATCAAAGTTATCATCGGAGGAGAATAGGTCATCTTGAGGGGGCGTACTTATCAAAGTTATCGTCGGAGGAGAATAGGGCATCTTGAGGGGGCATACTTATCAAAGTTATTATCGGAGGAGAATAGGGCATCCTGACGGATCTTGTAAGCAACCATTTTAAATATCTTTGCGTTTGTATTTCATTTAAGACCTATCTAAGGCGTGCATTTGTCCGATACTTGAGTCCGTAAGGGGACGATATTCATCAACTTTACTGATAACAGAAGAAAATTGAACCTAAAATTGATTAAGTGAAAACCTTGTTTATATGTATAGCACGGCAACCACAATTAATCCACACGACAGGCGATCACAAAAACCGGGGCACCACTCGTAATCTATCTAAAAGCCCATGGGAGCTCGTGACAAATTGTGTGCCCCAGACGGGGTCAAAAGTCAGGTCGGTGGCGACAAAAATAACGACGACAAATCGGTAAAGTTGTTGATGTTATCGGTGCCTGACAATCAGCGTCGGCTGAGATTAACCGAACATTAACCTCGACATCAAAAGATATCGGCATAGTCAGGTGTATATAACACCGGAACTCTATATATAGTAAGTTAGGTGCATACTGGTGTGACATACTTGTATGCTACTACTTATCAACAAAACTACGACAAACGCATTTTTGAGATGAATTATGTTATTTTTAATATGTTGGAATGAGACTCTCAAGTACGTTTGTTTGTTTAAGGAATACCTCTACGTGTTTTGAACTTTGCTGCGGCATATGGCGACTAGAGTGTCTCAATTTTACTGGCAACACAACAATATATACAGCCATACCCTGTGAAATGTTACAGAATATTATTTGCGACATATTTCAGTTAAAAACGGTCACAGAGTATCAAAAACACAATATTTTCGCCAAGGGAAAATCTGAAAAAATCAAACCAGAATGACAAACAGGATGATCGTTTCACCACACCCCCTCCCTCCCTCCTCTCTAACAACGCACTATAATCGATCTATCTGGGTTCTGCAGTCGTCAGACGTTTTAACAATGCCCCTGTGTCGTTTCACTGGGCTACCTGTGATCTCGAAAAAAAAAACAACATATAAACGTAATTATTCCACAGAGTGGTCGTGTATTACCGATATGACAGAACCATCACAAAGGACAGTTCCCTTAAGTACGGTATTCAATCGGAGGGCAGTATTATACTGTACCGGCATACCGAAGCAACTTTGAAGAGACAATGCAGTTATACCTTTTCCAATTCATGTAGATTGCAGATTTAAATGAGCAAAAACCACAATATTTCGTGCTGCTTTTGTGCATCAATTTGTAAATCAAGGTTTGCTCAGGATTCGCGACGCAAGTAACATTCTAGATCAAGCGAACTTTCATTGACCTTTTAGGATCCTGTTAATGGCTCTTAGGTCATTTTCATGACTTATCGAGAAAATTTCCATTATTTACGAGGTTTTTTTTTGGTCGTTGGTTATACTGTCGCGTTTTACTGGCGACAAGTAGCGTAGAGAATATGATTATCCCTATTCTAATTCATATAAATTTAAACAAGCTAAACCACGATGATTGAGTGACTTTTTGTGCTTGGCTTTAAAAATCTGCATTATGTAGCTCAATATTCGTGATACCAGCAGCATTCAGGGTCACACTATTGTTCCTGACGTCATTTTCCTGATGTGTAGGGTCATTCGGGGTCATTGACGTCACATGACCTCACCAATTATTCATTAACCAATCACATCTCACATAGATTAGAACGAGTTTTCTAGCAGGATCATGATAATTCTCCCAATCGTTTAAGTTAGAAAGAGGGTTTTCTGTTTTGGTCTTTGTTAATGTTCAGCTCCTGGTGGCAATGGTCACCATGATAACCGCGGCCTTACTCTAGTAAAACAAAAGTTATCCTCAAATATACTTTTATATATGTAGATTCACATGTACCTTCGCTGTGTTTGGCGTACACCTACAATTATTATGTAAAATTTTGTTGGAGTATTGTACAAACTTATTGTGAAAAAATAGATTACACTCATGGGCGTCGTCATATTAGTTTTTGCCTCGTCGGTTTGCCATCCAAATATTTAGCACGATATATATGTATACTAGAAATCGAAAGCACTGTGGCCATATCATCTGATACCTATTGATGAAATTCTGTACATATAACATACATATAACACATGTGTTCCATATATTGCAGCCAAAGTGAAAGATATAAGCCTGCCAATACATGCTAACCATTCTATGTATGTATTACATGTATCTATTCGATGTATTTATTCTGTTCATATATTCCATGTATTTATCTACATATCTATTCTATATATCTATTCTATATATATATCTATTCTATATATCTATTCTATCTATTATTATCATCATAGACATAAGGACGCTCATCATTGTAATAACATTTAGGACGCATACAATTAAAATAAACATCAGGACACCCACTATTACAATAAACATTGGGACACTCACTATTACAATAAATATTTGGACACCCAATATTACAATAGATATTTGGACACCCACTATTACAATAAACATTTGGACACCCACTATTACAATAAACATTTGGACACCCATTATTACAATAAACATTTGGACACTCATAAACATATGGACACTCACTATTACAATAAACATTTGGGCACCCACTATTCCAATAAACACTTGGACACCCACTATTACAATAAACATTTGGACACCCACTATTACAATAAACATTTGGACACCCACTATTACAATAAACATTTGGACACCCACTATTACAATAAACATTTGGGCACCCACTACTACAATAAACATTTG